AAAATAGTACATTAAGCTTAGTTACTTTAGGACTTGAATACAAATGGAATCATGCTTTAAGCCATGAAAGCACTTTGTAATTTAGAACATCCTGCCCACCCGAGACATATAATGTCAGCAGAAATCAGGTCACTGTTGGTAAAAAGCTAATACAATTGATGCAAACATTTCCATAGCATTACAAAAGGTCTTGAAAATATGGTATGTGGAGTCCCTTTACCCTCAAGTTGGTATACCTTTTTGAAAAAGTATTTGTATTGATTTCATAGAGCAAGGGAGAGGGAGAGAGAAACAAAAACATGAATGATGAGAGAGAACCACTGATCGGCTGCCACCTCCTTGTCCCCCACTGGGGATTGTGCAAGGGACTTGGGCTTGTTCTTTGACCAGGAATAGGACAGTGACCTCCAGGCTCACAATTGGATGGTTAGCCATCATAGAGACACAGCAGGTGTGCTAAGTATTTAATTCTTGAAGACAGGAACTGATGTGAGTTAGGACATTGGATGTGTCATAACTAATTGACCTTCCCGCCCCTAACTAACTTTTCTCTGGTTAATTATTTTTGAATTGTGCAACAAGACTGACTTTTGTAAAATATATATATCCTGAATTATTTTAGAGTAGTGGATAAGACATCCTTTCATTGAGTCTTTAATGAACTAGTGAAGGAAATAGTCTTATTTCTCTTTAATCTTAAAGTCTAGCCAATGTAAGTGTGTCCCATATCCTTTAAAGTTGTCGGTGCTTGTTGCACATGTATTCCTTAATATTATCCTGAAAGTCACACCATTTGGGCATCGTTTGGGTTACATATTTTCTTTAGTTCTGTTATATTTTCAGATATTTCCAACATGTCATACCATTATTTTAAGCTACGTTCTTTTGGATTCCTTAAGAATCACTCCCACCTGGGACAAGGTAACATATGGAGATTTCTACATTAATAACCAGGTTTGTGCTTTGGCTACACGTTTGATCTTATATTTAAGTGAATTTGTGTGTATACTCATTGTGCCATATATTAAGTTGTTGATCTTCAAGGACTTTTAGTGCATAACACACTTATATCCCTATCCTTTATTTGTTGAGCCTGTTTTATGATACATTGAAGGGGGTCAGTACATATTGGCCCTTTTACTTTACCTTTATCTTTTAGGGTTTGTCAACAGCCAAGAGTTGGATTTGTCTCAAGATTTTTCTTGAGTTCAGAAGTCCATTTATTTGATTTATGAAGAATGGTTGATGTTGTTTCCCTAGTTTCTAAGCAGAAGAAAATGTAGTTTGTGTAGATATTATTCCTAAGTGTCTTCTTTCAAGTGATGTTTTGTAGCCTACACAATGATTCTGAATAAGACAAAATCCCCACTTGTTGGGCACTTAGTTTCTATGGTAAAAATAACAAACATGAAAGTTAATGTAAATATGTACAATCATGCACAAAAAAAGATAAGAGGAAAACTATAGGGGGCAATTATTTTTAGAAGTTGTATTGGTAGGAGATAGTGTTTCTATTCATAAAATTAAGGGAGTCAAGGGACGTTTGATGAATCTCAAATGTCGGGACGGAGGACGTGGTGTATAAATCTGTGGAAAACATTTTTGACCCAGAAAGCTCAAGTGATTCCTTAAGGTGGGACCTGTGTCCAGTGGCTGTTTAGTTTGTGTCGCTACCCATCAGTGCCAGACATCTTGGGGGAATATGTGACTTCGGATTCGTTTACAAAAATAGTTACAGACATCCAAAGAGTTTTATGTGGAGCAATTACAGTGACCTTTGTTATGTTTACACATGCCATGTTGATTTAGCTAAAAGATCAACCACCATGAAGTTTTTGGGAGACTGGTGAATTTATGTATGCCTGTTAATCAAATTACTGTATTTAAAAGGTACAATTCTGGGAACACATTTTTAAAAAATTCTTTATTGTTTAGAAGATTACATAGAGTTGCTCATCACTTCCTTCCATGGTTTTGGGAATGGTAAAAGTTCTATATTTTTTACAGCAGTGTATTGTTCCTATGTGTATATATCCCACCGATTTTAATCCATTTATCTGCTGGTGGGCACTTAGGCTTCTTCAAAATCTTAGGTATTGTATATTGTGCTGCTCCAAATATGTGGGTGCGCAAGCCCTTTCCAATTGGTGTTTGTCAATTCTTGGGATATGTTCCTAGTAGTGGGGATACTGGTTCAAATGGGCGCTACATTTTTAAAATTTTTTGAGGAAACTCCATACTGTACTGCATAGTTGCTATATCAGTCTGCATTCCCACCAGTAATGCAAGAGGATTCCTTTTATACCCCATCCTCAGCAGCAATTGTTATTTGTTGAATTGCTGATGATAGCCATTCTGACCAGTGTGAGATGGTATCTCATTGTCCTTTTGATTTGCATCTCTTGGATGATTAATGGTTTTGAGCATGTTTTCATGTGTCTCTTGGCTTTCTGAATGTCCACTTTCAAAAAGTGTCTTAGTCCTATGTCCATTTTTTTATTGGAATGTTGATCATCCTTTTGTTTAATTGGATGAGTTCAGTATGAATTTTGGAGAATAGGTCCTTATCGGATATAACATTGGCAAATATCTTCTCCCAGGCAGTGGACTTCCTTGTTTTGTTGTTGTTGTTGTTGTATTTGTTGGCTGCTTCTCCTCTGCAGGAGGTTTTAATTTGACGTCGTCCCATTTGTTTCTTTTCTCCTCATTTTCCATT